GACACTGGTCTTGGCTGTTTCTCCCAGTGTGGCCACACTTGAATAAAGATTTTGCTTCACCTACAGAGACTGCTTGCTTTCTGTCACCAGCCTTGGGGTGCCTAACTAAAGGGGTACCCTTCAGAAACAGTTATGTCTTTTTGTACCTGAACATGAACTGGACTTTGTCAAAGAAGACTTGCACAAGGAAGTCCTTAGGATAAGGGAGAATATTGGAAAATGATTTGAATATATCGGTAATTGCAAAATAGAGCTGTCAGTGACATCCTATCCTAGTCCTCCAGATGTTGGACACTTTAGAGTATTGTTATTATTATAATAATGATCCAAATTGCAGTCTTCATCCATCAATTCACTGGTAAGCTCATTATTTCTATGCCGTGTGGCATAGTAAAAAAGTAAAGGTTTTCCCTGACATTAAGTCCAGGTGTGTCCAACTCTGGGGGTTGGTGCTCATCTCCATTTCTAATCCGAAGAGCCAGTGTTGTCCATAGACACCTCCAAGGTCATGTGGATGGCATGACTGCATGAAATGCTGTTACCTTTCCACAAAAGCGGTACCTATTGATCTACTCACATTTGAATGTTTTCAAACGGCCAGGTTGGCAGAAGCTGGGGATGACAGCAGAAGCTCACACCTGATTCAAACCTGCGACCTTTCGATCAACAAGTTTAGCTGCTCAGTAGTTTAACCCAACGGGGGCTCCATATTTACACCAAATAATAATAATAATAATAATAATAATAATAATAATTATTATTATTATTATTATTATTATTATTATGTTTCTGCTTATTTATACCCAATGAACAGACACACTGCTTACAACCAGAGCATCCCGAATGATCTGAACTGTGTCCGGCCTCCTGAAATCCCAGGTCAACCCTTTGCGTTTTGCATTAAGCCCAGATGGAGATTATCCTTTCATCAAAAAGAAGGATCACTCCAATTCTTTTAAAGGACCAGCTGGTTTTCGGCTCTGCTGCTCCCCACAGTGCAATATAGATATATCTCTTCTATTCAGCGGAGATCCCAGTTTGCAGCCGCTGCCTTCCAGTCTCAGCAGCTGGGGCAGCAAGAGGAATGCAATAAATTAGTTCTGTGCTTCGAAATGAAAAATAAATCTTCCCGTCATTCAGAATCAATGGAAAGAAGCCTATGGTGAGAGTCATTTATTATTATTATTTGTAAAGGAAATGTTAAAAAATGGTCTGACATAATCCACAAGGGGTCACTCACTCACTTGGCAGAAAATAATCCCTTTGGAAAGCAAGTTCAGCCTTATTTACACTGCCTTATTGTTATTGTTATTATTTGAAACACAAACAGATTAGTATACAGCAAACAAGGTCACTCTGCTGGCTGTTATATTGGATCACACATCAGACATTTCCCAAGTGTCGAAGACTGTGTGATGTATCGGTGAATAATGCATGCAGATCCCAATAGGGTGGCCTTTTGCAGCTGACAGATGGTAATTTTGTCAGCACCAATTGTTTTTAAGTACAGGCCAAGGTCTTTAGGCACTGCATCCAGTGTGCCGATCACCACTGGGACCACCTTGAGTGGCTTGTGTCAGAGTCTTTGCAGTACAATCCTTAAATCTTCATACTGTGTAAGCTTTTAAATTATTATTATTATTACTATTATTATTATATTTATTATTATAACTAGCCTTATATGTTCAGTGGAGACTCAAATAGAACTTCATTGGAATTATTTCTGTTTGAGTCTACACTGAACACATATGGTAATTTCACTGTTCGTGGCGTATCATTATTATTATAACCTTTCAATAATAATAATGTACCCCTTTTCCTCTATTATTATAATTAGAGTATAATTATAATTAGTATTGTACCCTTTAAAATACCCCTTTTCTCTCAAATATTATAATTATTACAGTATAATTATAAGTGCATTTATAATTATACCCCTTTTTCATATCATTTATTTATATTTATTTATTTACAGTTGTTTTGTCGTGTCAGGAGCAACCACTCCTGTTGTGAGGGAATTGGCCGTCTGCAAGGACGTTGCCCAGGGGACGCCTGGATGATTTTTGATGTTTTATCATCCTTGTGGGAGGCTTCTCTCATGTCCCCGCATGAGGAGCTGGAGCTAATAGAGGGAGCTCAACCGCCTCTCCCCGGATTCGAACCTGCGACCTGTCGGTCTTCAGTCCTGCCGGCACAGGGCTTTAACCCACTGTGCCACCGGATGCTCCTTTATTTACAGTAATACTTCCGCACTTAATGCAGGTGCTATTCATCTGCACGGCCTCCTGCTGGCGCAGTGGGTTAAACTGCTGAGGTGCTGAACTTGCTGACCGAAAGGCCGGTGGTTCAATTTCGGGAATGAGGTGAGCTCCCACTATGAGGCCCAGCTTCTGCCATCCTAGTAGTTTGAAAACATGCAAATGTGAGTAGATCAATAGGTCCTCCATCAGCGGGAAGGTAATGGCGCTCCATCAGGTCATGCCGACCATATGACCTTGGAGGTGTCTACGGACAATGGCTTAGGAATGGAGATGAGCACCACCCCCCAGACTAGGACTAGGATGTGGCCAAAGGAGTTCAACTTTGTCTCTAGTATCCTTCCCTCCAATGAGCAGTCGGGCTTTATTTCCTGGAGGATGGACTGATTGGATCTTCTCACAGTCCAAGGCACTCTCAGCACTTTCCTCCAACACCACAGCTCAAAAGCATCTCTCTTCCTTCGCTCTGTCTTCCTTCTGGTCCAGCTCTCACATCCGTAGGTTACTACAGGGAAGACCATGGCTTTGACTAGGCGGATCTTTGTTGCCAGTGTGATGTTCTACGCTTTACTATTAACTAGACATTGTAGATGCCCCCTAGTTAACTGTTTCATGCTTTAATTAGTGTTTAGTGGTCTGTATTCATTTCAGTTTAGTTTTGGGTACACACGCTAGATGAAGATCCCTTATCCAGAATTCAAAAATATTGCACATGTATATATTCATTCTTATGTATAGATATGCATTTTGTCTTTTTTATTCATTTTTCTTCTCTCTTTCTGAACATTGCTTCAGTTGTGAATTATATAGGTAGACATGTTCCATGCATCACAGTGCATGCACCATTATATAGAACAGATGCCCTATTTTTGAGAGTAACCCAGAGCTGATCAAGCCAAGGATCGAAAGGGGGAAAAGGATGGAAGGTGGAAGGGAGGGTTAGGAAGAATTGATTGGGGGAGGGAGGGAGTACATAAAGAGAGGAGGGAATGTATATAAGGAAGGAGGGAGGGAGGAGAAAGAGATAAGGGGAGGAGGAGGAAAATGAAGGAGAAAAGGAAAGGAATGAAGAGGGGGAAGGAAGGAGAGCAAAGGGAAGGAAGAATGACATAAAGAAAAAAGGAAGGAGAGAGGGAAGGGAGAGAAGAAGAGAGAGAAGGGAAGAAAGAAAAGGAAGGAGGGAGGGAGAGAAGGCAAGGAAGGAAAAGAAGGAAGTGAGGGAGAAGGAAGGAATAAAGGAAGGGAGGAAGGAGAGAGAGAGTGGAGGAAAAGGAAGGAGAGAAAGAAAGAATGCAAGGAAGGAAATGAGGGAGGGAAGGGAAGAAAAGGGAGGGAAAGGGGGGAGAAGGGAGAAAGGAAGGGAGGAAGGGAGGAAGGGAGGAAGGAAGGAAGGAAGGAGGGAGGGAGAGAAGGCAAGGAAGCAAGCAAGGAGAGAGGGAGGGAATGAAGGGAGAAGGGAGGGAGGGAGGAAAGAGAAGGAGAGGGAAGGAAAGAGGGGAGAAAGAAGGGAAAGAGGGGGAGAAGGAAGGGAGGGAGCTATGCAGTAATGGCCTCCCCGGCCTGCCTCTTTTCAGTCAGGAATGTTATGAAGACACTGGTAGAAAATATGTCAACTTTCATTGTTTAGCATCATGTGGTAGCAAGTTCCTCCCAATGTTTCTTTCCTTGGATTTGTGGTGCCACTTACCTTAGCAATAAGACCAGGTTGTGGCACAGCTAGTTAGTAGCCAGCTGCACTAAATCATTACTGACTGAGAGGTCATGAGTTCAAAGCCAGCCCAGGTCAGAGTGAGCGCCTGACCATTAATAGTCTAGTTTGCTGTTGACCCATGCAGCCGGAAAGACAGTTGAATCTGTCAAGTAGGAAATTTAAGTACTGCTTTATGCTTACGATACCATAAAACCTTCCAGCATTGTGCATAAGAATGAGGAAGTACTCAATCAAGGACTGGGTGTCACAAATGGACAGTGAATCAGCAGCTCCCCTTGTGGCCGGAGTCGAGCATAACCTCATGAAGCCGGAAAGCTGGAATGTTAAATTGCCTCTGTGTCTGTCTATATATGTTGTATGTCTAATGGCATTGAATGTTTGCCATGTATATGTGCATTGTAATCCACCCTGAGTCCCCTGCAGGGTGAGAAGTGCGGAATATAAATACTGTAAATAAATAATAATAAATAATTTTTCACCTGGGAATGCAGAATCATACTTTTCCTCTTCCCAGTGCAGTTAAAGAAATAGTATGTCTAGATTGGAGCAAGTTGGGAGGTCCTATGATAAATGTATTCAAGGGAATCTAGGGCTGCATCTAGACTGGATGCAAATATTGTTGAGGTCCTTCTCTAGGGCTCATATTTAGGGCTAATAAAATACAACAAAACCACCAAAGAGTGATGCCAAGAAACCCCATGATAGGGTCACCAAAAAGTCTCCATGGTTCTGTATTTCACCTCTCATCTTAAAACGATTGGCAATTTATTTATTTTTTCAAAAGGATACATTCCTTTGGGTGAGTTCACCTTCAAAAGGCACCCATTAGCTTCAAAAATGAGAATCCCAATTATTTCCATTGCCTTTTTCAAAGTACTTGGAGAAACCGGGACAAAAAGTGTCTCCAATTGAAGAGATGGGCGGGAATCGCAGAGCCCCAATTGGCACCAGTTTTCCATCTCCAAAAACACTTCTCTTTCCATCCTTTTGGTTTTCTTTCCAAAACAGACAATCTGTGGGGAAAATAAACCTATAATGCAAATACTTTATTATCAATGAGTGAATGGTGTTAGCTTTATTGTCTGGATGTTACCATCGAAACAAAACTATCCAGCGAAAAGTTGGTGAGGCTCTTTTGGCTGTATAATTTTCTCCTCTGTAAAAATAACAAACAACCGGATTGAAAGACTTATAAGCCAAAGTGCATTTTCCATTTTTTGTCCATATACACATTGCACCATACATAAATAATTACATTGTAAAAATGACTCCATAATTACAAGTATAATATATATATATTCATATAATATATATATTTTATATATATATAAAACTTTATATTAAATCTAGGTAGATGATATTTGGGGACAGTCTGGTGTCAAGGCGCGAGGCTCCCTCAAAGGCTGGCCGGTGGCTTCATCTGTTGTTCAGCAATATTTCCAACCAACACGGGCAAGAGGTGATGAACTGTCTCGAATAGCAAGGGCCCCAGCCTTTTGCGAAACTGATCCGGACACTGTTGGGGTCAAAAGGCCCATCGGGGAACCCCAAGTCCGTGGCATGTTGCAAGAGGCCCGCCTTCTCGTAATCGAAGACCTTGATTGAGTAGCCAGGCATCACTTTGCGAACGACCAAAGTCCGGCAGTTGGGAATGTCCAGCGTGGGTGAGTTGACGAAGATGGGGTGGCTGCTGCGATTGTACGCCCAGACGCCGTCCGGCTCCTTGCTGAGCAAGATCCCAAAGCCGATCTTGCCACGTGTCCGGCGAACGGCTTCGTTCCGGTTCTCTAGACTCAGCTGTCCCAGGCAGAAGCCGCTCCCTTGAGGTAGGTCATAGAAGATGCTGACAGACTGTTCGTACACTGAATAGAGGCGCCCCACCCGTGTCCGGTGCTCCCAGTAGGCCACATTGCACCAATAGCTTGGTTTGAAGGCGTCCGGTGACATACTGGCATCTGGAGGGGGTGGGAAGAGAGCAGAATGGTGGGTCATTTTGAGGCAAGAGAAAGCAACCTCCAACCAGCATATCTGAATCATACGAGTTAGCTAAATGTAAAACAGCGAAAGACCAGAACCTGAGAGGAACACTAGAAGACTAGAGACACAAGCACAGCACTGGTGGGTCATTTCGAGGCAAGAGACAGCAACCTCCAACCAGCATCTCTGGGTCAGATGAGTTATCGAAATGAAGCGCAGCGAAAGACCTATACTTGAGAGAACACTAGCAACACAAATACAGCATCAGTGGATTATTTCAAGGAAAGAGAAAGCAAACTGAGAGGAACCAGGACCTGAGAGGAACCCTAGAAGACTAGCAACACAAACACAGCATTGGTGGATCATTTCAAGGCAAGAGAAAGCAATCTCCAACCAGCGTCTCTGGGTCAGATGAGTTATCGAAATGAAGAGCGGCAAAAGACCTAGACCTGAGAGGAACACTAGAAGATTAGCAACACAACAAAGCATCTCTTTTTGTCAAATGCTGCTAGTGTTCCCCTCAGAGATGCTATGCGGCGTTCCATATAACGCAAGACTTTGCCCATGCAGTCAACAGGAAATAGAATATATGGAACAGATCCTACTGTCCTGCAGTTTTTATAGCCAGGTTCGACAACACATTATTAACCCATTCCTAAGCAACCTACCTGGCAGATCAACTCAATTCTATATTAGGTTTTTTCTAGAGGAGAATTTTCTCCATGAGACTTCGGCCGTTGCCCAGCTTCTCTTGGAGGGAGCCAGTATCAGACAACTTCTTATACTAGACTCAGGCTAAAATTAATCTTTGCATTCAACTGTGTGTATTTTGCCTGTGTTCTAGTCAGTCTATGAATCTGTATGCACTTGAGGATCTTCGATAGTCAGGTGTTATATGGGATTATAGTCCAAGGAGCAGGAGGGATATCAGTGGCTGAGATGAGATGAGAAAATCCCTCCTGGGCACACAGAAGTCTGGGTGGCCTGGAAGTTGCTAAACAGACTGTGCTCTGGCACCATGAGGTGCAGAGCCAACCTTAAGAAATGGGGCTACCAAGTGGAGTCCACAACATGCGAGTGTGGAGAAGAGCAAACCACAGACCACTTACTACAATGCAGTCTGAGCCTTGCCACATGCACAATGGAGGACCTTCTCACAGCGACACCAGAGGCATTGCAAGTGGCCAGCTTCTGGTCAAAGGAAATTTAGTATAATGCCAAGTTTTTAACTTTGTTTGTGGTTCTTTATGCATTATAACTGTATTCTCAATTCACTTCTGAAACAATAAATAAATAAATACTACAAGAAAAAAGTAATGAAATTGTGTTACTCTCGTTATAGTAATGAAATTTTACCAGCCACACTTTAGAAACATTTTAATGCCTAGTACCTACAACCCTATCCTTTTGGCATGCTTTTGCTGGCCAAATGGGCTCTGGGTTTCTGCAAAGGACACCCGTATATCCATGGGCAAGGAGGAAGACCTCAATTGCTGACCTTTCCTGCTCTGCATGGGTTTGCCTCTTGGTTTGGGGAGGATTCCTGCATTGCGAGCGAGCAAGTCCGGGAGGGGGTTTTGGGCTTCTATGGGGCCGGTATTCAGCTCCCTAACCATCTCCCCCCAGACCTCGGCCTCTTCACCCTTCTGCCTCCGGACCGTCGGGTTTGATTAAGGCACACACAACCCGACGCCCTCCTTTTGCTTGAGAAGCTCTATTGACTCACCGGATTTCCAAAACAGAGGCCTAACCCTGCGGCCCCCTTCTCTGCTCTCCGCCCCGACCCTCCGTTCCCTTTTCTTTCTCAAATTTCACTGGCAGCGAGAAGAGAGGGAACGAGCCTCTGAACTTGCCCTGCTTTGTTTTAAGGCAGTGTTGTAAGTCTTGCATTTCCTAAAAGGGAATGTGGGGGAGAAGATGGGAAGTCAATCGTTTTGCTTTTTCCACCAAGAAGATGCCACGAACCAAGGATCCAAGGGCTTCAGGGTTTCATGTATCAAGCAGAAGGAGGAAAACTTTAAAGTACCAAAGAGAATGAATGGTTGTTTGGGGTTTCCCCATTGATCCATCTGCTTATATTACACTATATAACACGATCTTTGTTCCTGGGTTATACATGTTATTTCCTAACTGGTTCTATCATGAAAACACGGGGAAAATTTGTTAAACTTCAAAAACTTTGGGTTGTTGTGAGTTTTCCAGGCTATATGGCCATGTTCTAGAAGCATTATCTCCTGATGTTTTGCCTACATCTATGGCAGGCGTCCTCGGGTTGTGAGGACTGTTGGAAAGGTTGGAAACAGACTTTGCAACGTCTGAGGATGGCTGCTGTAGATGCAGGCAAAATGTCAAGAGAGAATGCTTCTAGAACATGGCCATACAGCCCGGAAAACTCACAACAACCCAGTGATTCTGGGCATGAAAGCCTTCAACAATACATTGCAAAAACTTTGTTTCTTGCAGGACATCCTACAGCATATTTTGCTCTAGTTTTTCAGTGAATCATCATCGGGTCGCAACCAATTCAACCTAGTTTGTGACGAGCACAACAACAAAGTTTCTGGAGCAGAACAACTACTTTCATAGTAAAGACCACACAAACAGGAAATAACACTTTCAAACCATGCTTATGTAATTATGTGTGTTATTAATTTGGCCAATGGACCACATTCAATGGAGATTGTGAGATTGTAAGTGCATCGGCACTGTAGAATTAATGCAATCCGTCTCCACTTTAACTGCAATTGCTCAATGCTACGGAAAACTAGGAGTTGTAGTTTGGTGAAGCATGAGCATCACTTGACAAGATCTTGAAAAAGCTCAATTTTTATCGTACTGATTCATGGTAGTTCAAGCCATTCTAAGGCACCACAAAAGAGGCATGCTATAGGGAATCAACTAAAGCAGGAATGGGCAAACTTTGGCCCTCCGGGTGTTTTGGACTTCAACTCCCACAATTCCTAACAGACGGTAGGAAATCTTTAGAAGTTTATTTTTCTGCTGAAAAGGGAGATCCATACTCCACCAGGTATTTTGTGCAACGCAGTGCTAGCCTTGCATCGAACTTCACTTCTTGAAGAGAGAAACCGTGCTTATATCCCCTCCTGTTCTCAGTTCAGTCCCGCGGCAGAACTGGGAGGGTTTCGGTCTGTAAATTCTGGAATCTGGGACCAATTAAGAGACGTCTTTTTTTCTTTTTAACCCCCTGCGTCCCTTATTCAAAGCAGCCCCGAACCCAAAGCAGTGGCTGCAGCTCTTTTCATTTAGGTGGGTGGGAAGAATCCATCCCTTAACCATTTACATTCCCTTCCAAGTGCAGAAGGTAATTGAGAGAGTCGTCCTTTGATGAGACATGACCATGTCCAAGAGCCCTGCCAATGTCCTCCACACACACAATCCTGCCCACCACCCAAGTGAAGGCTTTCATACGGGGACAATTTCATCCTAGATTTTCTGTTTTTCCTCCACCACAGACATCCCAGTGTTTCTGACTCTGGAATTTGCATGACCTCGCCCACTGCCTCTCCCTTAATCATTTCCTGTTCTTGTCTATGGTACACAGCACACAGAGGAATTGATCTGCAACTGAACATACTAAAGACGTTTGGAAAGAATTCACCATGATTTATAGGAGTTGTAGGTACTCGGATGTATAGTTCACCTGCAAACTAAGAGCACTCTGAAGTCCACCAATGATGGACCTGGAACTAACTTAGCACACAAAAGCCCCATGACCAACCGGAGGTCTTTGGAGGAATGTATATGAGTTGTAGTTCATCTACATCCAGAGTGCACTATGAATCCAAACAATGATGGATCTAGACCAAAGTGGCATGCATGCCCAATATGCCCAAATTTGATTACTGGGAAGGGGGAGGGGGAGAACTGACCTTCATTTCTGGGAGTTGTAGTTCACCCACAACCAGAGAAACTGTGACCTCCACCAAAGATGTACCTGGACCAAACTTGGCACACAGAACCCCCATGACTAATTCAATCTACTGGAGGGGTTTGCATGGACTGACTCACTATAGTGAGAGTTGTAGTTTTCCCTGCAGCTAGAGAGCACACTGCCACTCGAGCACACTGAGACACCCCGATGATACATCTAGAGCAAAGTTGCCCAACATAACAAACTTTAAGTACTGATGGAGTTTTTCGGGGTTAATGTGGCATGATGTGAGTTGTAGTTCACCCACAAACTTATGCATTCTGTACAATTAAAAACATGACTTTTTCAAATAATTCGTGCAACGCTGGATACCTAAGGTAATATCTATGATAAAGATGACAAAGAGGTGGTGAAGAAAGAGATGGGGATGAAGGGGAAGGGAATGAAGATGACGAAGAGGAGGCAACAAAGAAAGAGAAAGAAGGAGGATACAGAAAGAATGAAGTGAGGAGGTGAAGAGAAAGGAGAGAAACAGGGAGGAGACAAAATGAAGGAGGAAATGAAGATGAAGAAGAGAAGGAGGAAGAAGGAGAGAAGGAAGCAGAATTGGAAGAAGTGGGATAAAGATGAAAATGAGGGGGAAAGAAGAAAGGGATGGAAGCAAAGAGGAGGCGGAGAGGCTGAGAAGAAGAAGAGGAGGAAGATGCAAGAGAGAAAAAGCAAGAAGAGGAGGAGGAAAGCATCCTAAAGTAAAGGTTTTCCCCTGACATTAAGTCCAGTCGTGTCCGACTCTGGGGGTTGGTGCTCATCTCCATTTCTAAGCCGAAGAGCCGACGTTGTCCATAGACACCTCCAAGGTCATGTGGCTGGCATGACTGCATGGAGCGCCCTTACTTTCCTGGTGAAGGGGTACCTATTGATCTACTCGCGTTTGTATGTTTTTGAACTGCTAGGTTGGCAGAAGCTGGGACTAACAGTGGGAGCTCGTACCGCTCCCCGGATTCGAACCTGCCACCTTTCAATCAGCAAGTTCAGCAGCTCAGTGGTTTAACCCACTTTGCCATTGGGAAAAGCGCCCTATTTACT